CTGCCGTGAATACGTGGTGGATTCTTTGTTTCCTCGCCGGGGGTTTAGGGGCGGCAGCCCTCTGCAGTAGAAAGTCATGTGAATAACTATGGTTATTTTCACTGTGGGTTATATTATTAGGGTAATTTTCTATATTTACGTCCGCCACTCCGACATCGTCGCCCCTGCTATCGGGGCCAAGTTTGCCGCTAACGGGGGGTTTCCGCGCAATGAAAACTATATATTTGCAATGTAGACAGTGAGAGGAATCCAACGATACCAAAATCGTCGATATCGGAGAGGCGAAGGTAATATAGAAAATTACCGAAGAATGAATTAATCATCATGAATAAATCCAATCAAACACTGTCCCGATATCAATGACATAGTGTGGAAACTTCCTCAGCCGACGGATTAAACAGACAAAATGGTTTGAGGAATCATTCCGTATGTATCGTGGCTATGTTTTGTTTTATGCAACCAAAGATTTAACTACCGGGAGAGGCGTATTCAGCGGGTTTGGGGCATAACTATTAGGTTGGGGCGCTACTCGGGGTAGGGAAAACTCCCTCAGCTCTCAAAAATTCAGTCGTCGGGCATTACCTGAAAATAGCATTGTCATCCCTCGAGCGACAAGTCTTATATTTGTCACAAATACGCTGGTGTTTTCCCCCTTCATGTCAAATGCATCGCTTTCCTAATTAACCGCTATTGTCAGTTTCCAGTTTGTTTGCCAGCAATTTCCTTTTGTCATATAATGTGTATTAGTGGGAATATATGCGTGTGTCCTTTCTTCAATTCTTTACAGGTACGGCATCAAGAAGTTCTGCGGAAGGAAAGTCCCTCATACCATGAAATCCAAAAGTAATTTGGTGACAATAAAGTTCATAACTGACTACAGTGTCCAGAAAGAAGGGTTCATTCTTTGCTTCAGTGCTGACTCGGTATGTTAACAACAAATGAAGCTCTGATTTTGAAATCTCGGGCTACATACAAGTACATTTTTTTCGATTTTCTCACTACAATAAACACTTCGTGCGCAGTAACTGAACCCGTCAACCACAATGAAAAAAAAAGCTAACACTTAACCTTGTATATTCATTAAGCTCCATCAAATACCATGGTTTACGCGTGTATATCTGCCACAGTATTCATATTTTTCATAATCAAATACCATGGTTTACGCGTGTCCATATCTGTCACAGTATTCATATTTTCCCTATTTTGTTACAGCCATAAGAAGTTCTGCTTTCCAACTCAGATAAGGCAACATACCTGGAGAAAGCGTGTGATCAACTAACTACAAAAGCAATATCTTCCATCAAATTCAGCAAAGGTAACAGTGTATTATGCTCTTCCGAACTTATAATATCCACTGCATAAATCGTTTGAATGAGTACTTAATGTTTACTAACCGGTATGCTTTAATCTAGTTACCTACATACAGCCAGGCTTTTTTTATATAATTATATAGCAAAACGGTTCTGTTTACTCATTCTTTTCCTTGTTCTTTTTACATATATAATGTAAAAACTGGCAAGTACTATGCACATGTCAACCGTTCAGGATTAGTTAAAAGATAAACGTTATGAAAATTATTCTATACCAACGACGCATAACTAATTCTTCAATAACAATAGGTTACCAAATAGTTTTGGAACTTGTTGCTATTCTATGTGTTAACAGAATTGTATTTTCAAAATACATGAATATCAGTTTATATACTTTTGGTTGTAGTAATAAAGATACTAATTGCATTTTTTTATATATATTTATGCGCTTCACTATAAAATCAGCAATGAATTTCGAAATATTTATCACCCATGGCAAAATTTTCAAATATGTATTGTAAACATATGTGCAAAAATAAAAAGATGAAATTCGTTTCCTTACAATAATACCCTTAAGAATTATATTTATCTCCGTTTTGGAGAATTGTGTGAAATATATGCATTTTATAACATTCAGATATTTAATTTATTGAAAATTTTCTGCTGCGTCAACATCCAAGGTCATTAGCGGCCTTTGTAAACAAGGCGATATTCCAAAGCTCATACAGCACCATGGTGTATAGTAGCGAGAAGTGTTAAAATGAATTAACAATCAAGATATGCTAGAGGTCAAAGTTTTCACAGCATTGCAGGTTAGTATGGTAGTAAAAAGGGTAAGTAAAGAAGAGCAAACCCTTCAGGACTGACACAGCAACCCTTTCATCCCTTCAGCATGGTTCCCACATACCAAGTGGACAGAAGGGAATAAAAAAAAAAAATTAAAAAAAACATCAAAGTGAGCCGAGGCGAGGGCCGTCCAAGGCAGGGGTGATGATACACATTAGGCCTCAATCTCGTCTCCCAAGCCCCCCTCCCCACGACAATGAGCAGGAGATAAGGGCCAGGGCTGGGGCAATACCCTACACTGGGCACCAACCAACGAGATTTTTTTTTGGGGGTTGGGGGGGGGATTAAGGTTCTAATCACTGACAAGAATCCAATTTGAAAAAAACTAACAATGGCAACAGACA